GATGGAAGTTTGGGAAATAACAGACTAAAAGTATGAGTGATCAACCTATTACGAAATTTTTTTTCCCCTTAAAAGTGGCATTTATGAAAGCATCTTGCTGGAAAGTAGATATAAAATGTACTTACGTGTTGGGTTTTGTTTATTACTTTTGAGAGATTGCCTTTCTGGAACTTTGGACCCACAGTCATTACCCCACAACATTCTGAAGAAGAGAGGCCAGCGTCTTGTCTTGGGTCTAAAAGGCTGCTAACCACTGCAGTAGGAGTTTGGTATTGTGAAAATTTTTCCTCTAGCAGTTGCTATTGGGCAAAGAATATATAAGCCAGCACTCAGATTTCTTGTGAGTTTTCTGATGCTGTGTAAAGGCATGTTACTTTTTTTTTTTCCTGTTAAAGGTAAGGGAGAATGGACCAGTGTCCTAAAAATCTATCTATAACCACAATAAAACTACTGCTCTTGAATCTTCCCATGCAGGTGTCTTAACCACTCCCTTTTCTCAGTTCCCACCAGCTTTTCCATGTTTTCTCCAGCCACCACCCTGCCTAGACTTTAAGGGTATCCTAACCCGAGCTTGGCCTTAATGTCAACAGATTCCTTTTTCTACTGCCACAGTCCAGATTAAGATTGGAGTGTGTGTGTGTTTAAGGAACTGTATTAAGAATTCAAGGTAAAAAGAAGAAAGGGGGGGGGGTGTATTTATTGAGTTAATAAAGGAAAGATTGCTAATCCAAAGAGTTGGACATGACTGGACTGAACTGAAGGTGACTAAAGTCTACAAATTAGTTAAGGCTTGTATTGTCCACTGGGCAGTCATCCCAATTTCTTTTGTTAGTTCAGTGGTTTGAATGCTAGGTTAAATGACTCTGAAAGGAAGAGGTTTAATTTTTTTCTCCTCAGAGAAATCTTATCAGTAGATCTATTGAAGTAGTTCTCTGAAAACCTTTCAAGAATTTAGAAAGGGAATATCACTACTGTTTAGTTTTTGGTTACAAGCCTAAAGCTGTATATTAGGAATATCTGAAAGGCAAGTTTGTGTAACTAGTTTTCCAGTTAGTAAAGCAGTTGGCAATATAGCTTTTGTTATGTTTTCTCTTTCCATCTGAATTTCTTTAATTCTGGACCAGTGCTTCTCAGTGGTAGGAACTATCTATTCCTAATGTCTAACATAGCCCCTGGCATAAATAATAAATGTTTCTTAAATGAATGGAACTTAACTAGGTTAGTATTCTTTTAGGAAGTATGAATCATACATTTCTGTCTTTTAAGTCATATAAAAAGAAAAGAGTAGCTTTGAAGGTTATGTGAAAGTTGGCACTGTATAGTAAAGCTTATTCCTAATATTTCTGTTGCGATCCTAGAAAGATCGAACATAAAGAATGCAGTTTCTTTTAAACAGTACTAAGAATATGGATGTTTGGAAAATGTAAGTCACAATCTTGCCCTCATGTTAAGTCCTTGAGTGGTCATTGTGTTTCAGTATACTTCTGGAAAGATGAAATTTTCTGTTTAAATCATGAATTGTAAGGGTATAAAGTAAGCCATTTTCCTAATTTCTTACACTTAGGATAAATGTTACAATTATGGTTTAATAAATGTAATAATTTTAAAAAGAGATTTATAGTATAGGCATTATCCCTTGATCCCAGCTTTCTTTTGCTACTGCCTTCAGAAGGAAAAAGGAGCTGGTTGAATAAGAAGAAAAAAAATGATTTGGATATGTCATGTTGGAACTTTTGTTTGAAGATTCCATTGTGGTAAAGATTAATTTAATTCCTGCTGGGTTTTTTTTTTTTCCTTTCAAATAAATGTAGAAGAAAAATATTAAAGGGTAGTGACATATTAATACCTAGCTTTTCTTCTCATTCCCTCATGAATAGAGGTAAAGGGGGAAGTAAATTTAATGCATTAGCTTTATTATTTGGGTTAAGCTTTGTTATCAGTTATGATCATGATTGGGCACTCAGATTTCGATTTGACACAGTGACAAAAATTAGGGGCCACTGGTTTCCAAACTTGGTACCAATTGGTTTTCTTTGTTATTGTTTGATATATTACTAACTCAGTTTTTCATTTTTGGAGTGAGATAATATTGAACTAACTAAGCTGATCAGGTAAGGATTAATTTAGTCTCTGAGATATATTATCTTGAAAAAAACCTATGACATTGTTACCAAATTTTTCAGTTTTACTGCTGCTAGTGAAGGAGACATATTTAGTGGCATTATGCTCTATGGCCTGGCAGGAAAGAGTTATCACTTAATTTTAGACTGTTAATATGTTGTAATTCAGTTTTTTTTCAAAGTATGGTCCTTAGATAAGCATAGTAATTACTTGGGGAATTTGCTTAAAATGGAAAATGCTCAAGCTCCACCCCAAAGTCAATGGATCAGAATTTGTTGAGGGGAGGACCCAGAAATCTGCATTTCTAATAAAAATTCCAGTGGTTTTGATACAGGCTAAAATTTGAGAACCACTGTGTGTGTATTTTATCAAAGTTTGACTGTTTACCTGATTTCTTTCAGACCTGCATAAACCTATGGTCTTTTATTTATTTTTGTAAAGCATGATTAGAATATAATAAAACAGGTCATCATGGTTTAGTCAGTTCAGTCACTCAGTCGTGTCCGACTCTTTGCCACCCCACAGACTGCAGCATGCCAGGCCTCCCTGTCCATCACCAACTCCCAGAGTTTACTCAGACTCATGTCCATTGAGTTGGTGATGCCATCCAACCACCTCATCCTCTGTCGTCCCCTTCTCTGCCCGCCTTCAATCTTTCCCAGCATCAGGGTCTTTTCAAATGAGTCAGCTCTTCGCATCAGATGGCCAAAGTATTGGAGTTTCAGCTTCAACATCAGTCCTTCCAATGAACACCCAGGACTGATTTCCTTTAGGATGAGCTGGTTGGATCTCCTTGCAGTGCAAGGGACTCTCAAGAGTCTTCTCCAACACTACAGTTCAAAAGCATCAATTCTTCAGTGCTCAGCTTTCTTTATAGTCCACTCTCACATCCATACATCACTCTCACATCCATACATTATAATTTGCTCTCTGACAAAAAGATTGAGAACAGTATAATTAGTATTCCTTTAGCTTTAAGACTTATTTTAAATAAAACATTTATCTGATTATAAAAATAATATGTGCCCATTGTGGACTATTGTGGAGACTTAGGAAATTGTAAAATAACTGTCACCCATAATACTGTTTCTTGGAAATAAGCATTCTGATTTTGTCATGTTTCCTTCCAGTATCTGTTCCGCCATTTATCCCTCCCTTCTTCCTTCTCTGTGTCTTTATGGAAAACAGCATATACAGTTTTGATCCTGCTTTTTTAATACCTAATATATAAACATTTTACCATATCATTAAACTGTTCTTAACAAACATAACTTTTAGTTGCATTATATTCCATCATGGGGTGTACCAATAATTTGTTTAACTGTCCCCCATTGTTGAATGTTTAGGTTGTTTTCAGCTCTTTTTATGAGAAAAATGTCTGTTTAAATTTTTTTTCTAAATCTGATTATTTTCTTTAGGATAAGGAGATAAATGTATATATTTATTTATTGTGGTCAAAGGGCATATGTTTTTTTAAACTCTTGTTGAGCATCACCAGATTGTTTTGAGAGTGCTATTTATTCCAATATTTATTTCCATGTATACCTACAGAAATGCCAGAAGGAAGCAAGTGGTTTTTTTTTTTCTTTTATTTATTTATTTATTTTTTTTTCTTTTTTCCATTTATTTTTATTAGTTGGAGGCTAATTACTTTACATCATTACAGTAGTTTTTGTCATACATTGAAATGAATTAGCCATGGATTTACATGTATTCCCCATCCCGGTCCCCCCTCCCACCTCCCTCTCCACCCGATCCCTCTGGGTCTTCCCAGTGCACCAGGCCCGAGCACTTGTCTCATGCACCCAACCTGGGCTGGTGATCTGTTTCACCCTAGATAATATACATGTTTCAATGCT